GCGGACCTGTGCCAAGGGCAGATGAGGTCCCATCAAGGAGGAGTCCCCACCTCTCTGAAGTGACAAGTGATTGTGTGCCGAGTAGCGGCGACCCCTGCCGAGGCGGTGTCAGGGAGGGCTGTTCAGCTGCGTGACGGGCTTGGGCCGCCTGGACCCCGGCGCTGCCTGACTCTGCCCTGAAGACAGTGACGACGGGGTGGCGGGGTGCTTCTGGGCTGCCGTAACTGTGCCCGCCGACCATGTCCCTGTCTGTGACAGCTGTAACAGCGTGGATGTATCTGCACTCGGCAGAGTGGTTGTGACATGCTGACAGTGATGGCTGACTCTGGCGGAGTGTCTGGTGCTGGTGACAGAAAAGCTGTGTCCCCGTGGGCATGGTGGCTATCTGCTTCCAGAACAGCAAATGCAGGATGGGTTCCGTGGTCCAGAGACTCGGGGGTTTGGGGCTGTGATGTGTGCCTACTTTCTCTGAGACCTTGTCAGACAATTGTGACCACCCTTGCTTGCTTTTTTTTTTTTTTTTTTTAAGAGAAGATGACTTGGCCCAGGCAGCCCTTGAACTTGTGATAGCCCTGCTTTGGCTTCCTGAGTGCTGAGTCAAGAGGGGGGCACCATTCCACGGGGCTCAGTCATGCTGCTACCTGCGTCTAGACCGTTCTAACAGTCAGCACTCTGGCCGATAAGCCTTGTACCATCTGCCCTGGGCACCATAACTACAAGTGTCCTCTTGACACAGATAGTCCCAAGTGACTGCAGCCACTGTCAACGGTGCCCCAGGCGCGATGACTGAGTTCACCGGGCCCCTGGGTGCTTGACCTCTTACAGTCACTCACCCTTCGAACATTTGTAAGGTGTCACAGCTGCCTTCTCATGCCTAGCCCCCCCCCCCCAACAAGGCCCCTTCAGACTATGACTGCAGTCTTTCTAGCTCTTTCTGGGACCCCTCCAGTCCCCACAGCTCCCCAAGGACTCCCCTTAACACTCCACCAAGCTGCTGCAGTCCCTACCAGAGAACAAGTGTCAGGCTCCCGAGATTTCTCAGGGGGAACTAGGAGAGGGAAGCTGTAAAAACACAAAGCTCACATCAACAGGAAATGCCAAGCCTGAGACTGGGAGCCTCGGAGATGGCGCCTCGGGGTGGAGCGCAGGACTCAGACCCTGTTCCCTTTCAAGGCCCTCGGGACTTCCTGGCCCCCTGTTGTCTGATCAACAGTGGCTGAGCGGCAATGATTATAATTCACGTGCCCTTTCCTGAACGGCTCACTCATGGGCTTCAGTTCTGGGGCCTTGTCTTTACCCCTTTACCTCCCTCCTTGCCAGCAGCTTGTGAGGGAACCCTATTGGATTGGTGAGGAAACTGCAGATCAAAGAGGTCAAAAATCTCTTCCCTCAAGCTCAGACAAGGAGCTCCGAGTTGAGGTCTCCCTGCAAGAGTGGCCTCCGTGGCTTCCGGTTAGGCACTGCCCTGGAGCAGTCAGTTTGAGAGTTCTGAGCTCCCGATGTGTGTGTGAAGGATTCTACCGAGGTTGCTGCCCGAGGTCCCTGGACTTAGAGGAAAACCAAGGCGGCCGCAGTGAAATCGGCCTGGCCTGCAGTGAGAAATCAAAAACAGAAATCTTGGCCCATCCCTGACCCAGCTCGGGTTTCGCTTTCCCTGCGGGAGTTTGTGGCCTGCGGAGGCCGCAGCTGGGACAGTTGACTGACTTGTGGACTGAGAGACCGCTTGGGTGCCAGCGCCCTGCACAGAGAGGAAAGGGACCAAGAACAAACGCAGCTCAGCCTCTGCACACGTGGGGGATCCCGGGCACGCTCCACTGTGTTGGCCGGGCAGCTAGCGTGGAGAGGGGTGCAGCCACCCCGCCGGGCTGGCTCCCAGAGGGGAGGCACTTTTCCTATTGGTGGTGGCCTCTGCACTCGGTCCTCAGAACCTGGGGGGCGGGGCGGGGAGTGGGGTGCGCGAGACGGCGTTCCTGGCGCGGCCTATGGGGGCTGAGTCACAGCCCCGCTGCGATCTGTCAAAAGACAGTTGGAAGGCAAGGAAAGGCAGAGGCGAGGGGAGAGGTGGGGCACTGAGTTGGCCTCTTACCACTCGTTGGACCTTCCCACTTTCCCCATCCAGAGCAGCACCTTCTGGTCCCCCAGGGACGTGCATACCCTCGGGCTAGTGTCTCTCGTGGGTGGTATGTTTCCACTGGGGTCCTTTGCCCTTGTGGTCCCTGCTCGGCGCCCACAGGCCTGTTCCTGCGCTGGGAGCTGAGCTGTCAGAGCGCCCTCTGCTGGACCGTGAGAAACGTGCAGCCTTGGCTCTCATAATATTATTTTTACTGAATGCCTCAGGGAGCTGGGCGCCAGGCCGGCCGACCGCAGGGTTGGGACAGGGCTGTCTCCTCATTCCACGCGCCTTAGGCCACTGCAGCGGGAGCAGCCACTTGGTGGACACTCCCAGAGGAACCTGAAAGAAAAGTTGGTCTAGGAACGGTTCCCAATCTTGTCCTCCCTCTGAGGCCTGGATCTCAGCAAGCCTCCTGACACCAGCCTCTGGGATACAGCTCACAATGTCCTTGACCTTGCAAGGTTCTCACTACATAACCTTGGCTGTCCTAGAACTCGCTATGTAGATGAAGCTGGCCTCAAGCTCTCAGAGACCAACCTGCCTCTGCCCTTGGGAATTCTGAGACTGAAGGACTTCCCCACTGCTCCTGCCTTTTTGGTCTGTTTTGCTTTTTGAGACAGCATCTCTCTGTGCAGTCCTGGCCGTCCTGAGGCTGGCTGTGTAGACCAGGCCAGCCTTGAACTTGCAGAGACCCTGCAGCTCCTGCCTCCTGAGTGGTGGGTTACAGAGGTGCACTCTCGCGCCTGATTACTTGAATTTTCAAGTTATATGTGTCTGTGGTGGGTCCATGCGTGTAAAGTGCAGGTGTCCACAGAGGCCAGAGGCTTGGAGTCATCTAGAACCGCAGCTGCAGGAGCGAGCTGGGATCCAGCCTCCCATTCTCTGCAAGACCAGTACCAGCTTTCAGCCCCTGAGCCAGCTCCATGGACTACTTTAGCGGAGCTGCGTGGCCAAGGTCACAGAAATAACAGGACTGAAGTGACAGGAGGATCCAGGTCTCCACTCCACAACATTAGAGAGGATTTGAACGGTGTCTTCCTTGTGTGATCTAGGAGCAAGGACTTTTTCTCGGGGCCTTGTTTTTAGTGTACTGCATTTTATACATTATGAGTTTTTATTGCAGTGTGTGTGTGTGTGTGTGTGTGTGTGTGGTGTATGTGTTTGTGGAAATAGAAGTCAGTGTGTGCATGTCCCTCTCTACCGTATTTATTATGTGTATGGCTGAGCAAGGTGGCACACGCCTTTGATCCCAGCACTCGGGAAGCAGAGGCAGGTAGATCTCTGTTAGTCTGAGGGCAGCCTAGTCTGACTGCACAGTGAGATCACGTCTCAAAAAAACATTTATTACTGTATTATATGTTATTATATTTAATAATAATGGGTGTGAATTTGGGCACAGTGCAAATGTGGAGGTTGGAGGGCAGCTGTAGACAGTTGGGTCTTCCTTCCACCAGGAGTTCTGTGGGTGACTAGGTCCCTAAACCTTCATGACAAGTGTCTTCACCCATTGAGGCATCTTGCCAAAGATTTATTTTATTTTATGTGCGTGGGCCTGAGTGAATGTATCTGTGCCAAGCATGCGTGAGTGCCTTCAAAAATCAGAAGTGGGGGGGGGATGGAGAGATGGCTCAGTGGTTAACAGCACTGACTGCTCTTCCAGAGGTCCTGAGTTCAATTCCCAGCAACCACATGGTGGCTCATAACCATCTATAATGAGATCTGGTGCCCTCTTTGGGTGTGTATGTATACATGCAGGCAGAGTACTATATAAATAATAAACACATCTTAAAAAAACAAACAAAAATAGAAGAGGGCGTCAGCTCCTCTATCAGGAGGAGTTGGGAGATCTCCCAGGGTAAGTGTTAGGGACCAAACCCACGTTCTCTGCAAGACCAGCGGGCATCCTCAGCCACCAGGCCCTGTGTCTGGCCCAGCACCTGACTTTTGGGATGGAATCATTCACTGAACCTAGTTCGATTTCGCTGCTGCTTGGCAGCTCCTGTGCATGTCTGCACAGAGAGTGTTTTTGCCCCTCCAACCATCGACTCATCCTCTGCTGTTGCTGGTTTTTGTTTGTTTGTTGGCATTTGGTTTTTGAGACACAGTCTTTCTACATAGCCCTGGTTGTCCTGGAACTCATTATGTAGACCAGGCTGGCCTTGAACTCACGGAGATCCTTCTTCCTCTGCCTCCCAGTGCTGAGATTAGAGAAATGCACTGCCATGCCTGGCCTCCATGCTTTTTTTTTTTTTTTTTTTTGAGACTGGGTCTCATGTAGTTCAAGATAGCCTTGAACTCGCATGATCCTGTCTTCATTTCCTGAGTGTTGAGATTGCAATTGTGTATCACTGTGCCTTCTTCACTTGGTGGTGGAGGTAGAGAGAACCCGAGGTGAAGTGCATTCTAGGCAAGCATGCTACCCACTGAGAGGCCTTGAGCCTCTCTCTCATCAGAGGTGCTAGAACGAGTGAGAAGAGCCTGGGCTGTGGTCTAATAATGCAGGGCCTGGGCAGCCACGGACTCTTTGGAAGAAGCATTTCCTCAAATGACATCAGGCAAAAGAAAAGTCCCTTTAGCTGCAGAGCCACTTAGTCCACTGTGTGCAGAGACAACAGAGCCCCGGACACCGAGCCCGAGAGCCTCTGAGAGCTGGGAGGGCCAGGAAAATCCTGAGACCCTCAGATACTACCGTTTATACTTTTCTCCAGTTTTGTTTAATTTTTTTACTTGTATATAGATGCGTGTTTTGTTTGTATATGCGTCTGTACACCAGAAGAGAGCATCGGACCCCATGGAACTATAGTTATAGATGGTGTGAGCTGCCATGCATGTGCTGGGAATTAACCTCGGGCCCTCTGGAAGAACAGGCAGTACTCTTCTTTTTTTTTTTTTCTTACAGAGCCCTTCACACATTTGTGTCATCCTTTTACGGGGACCGTGCTAACCTTCTCCGTATCATTCCAGTCTTAGTACATGTACTGTTGAAGTGAGCACCGGCTGGTGCCCTCAACACCGCTGAGCCTAAGCCATTTCTTCAGCCCCTTGCTGGTGTGTGTTTGTTTGTTTTGTTGTTGAGCCAGCGTTTCGCTATGGAGCTCTGTCTGTCCCGGAACTCACTCTGTGGACCAGGCTAGCCCAGAACTCACAGAGATCCCTCCCCTTGATTCTGCCTCCTGAGTGCTGGGATTGCACCTGCACTGCTCGACGACTTGTTTTTAGTTTTTGGAGACGGTTTCCCTGTGTAGCTCTGGCTGTCCCTGAGCTTGCTCTGTAGACCAGGCTGGCTTCAAACTCACAGAGACCCACTTGTTTCTGCCTCCCAAGTGCTGGGATCAAAGGCCGCCACCACCTGGCTCTGCCTGCTTTTTTTTTTTTTTTTTAAAGGATTTATTTTTTTGTTTTTGTTTTTGTTTTTTTTAAAGATTTATTTATGATTTTTAGAGCATTCTGCCTGCATGTGCACCTGGGCACCAGAAGAGGGCACTAGATCACACCATAGGTGTTTATGAGCCACCATGCAGTTGCTGGGAATTGAGCTCAGGACCCTTGGAAGAACAGCCAGTGTTCTTAGCCTCTGAGCCATCTCTCCAGCCCCTATTTACTTGTATTTCTTATAAGTGTGGTTGTTTTGTTTACATCAGATGTCTATGTGCCACATGTGTGCAGTGCACGCAGAGGCCACAAGAGGGTGTGAGAGCCTCTGGAACTGGAGTATAGTTCCCCGCCTGTGAGTGTTAGGGATTGAACCTGGATCCTCTGGAAGAGCCAGAACTGCTAGGCCATCTCTCCAGCTGTTTTTGTTGTTGTTGTTGTTTTGTTTTGTTTTGTTTTACCTCTTTTATTGAGCTTCTTTAGATTTATTTTGTATTGCAAGAGGTACAGGGGTCACCAAGACAAGCACGTGGAGGTCAGAGGACACACTTACGGGAGCTGGTTCTTTCCTTCCACCATGTGTGTCCCAAGGATTGAATTCAGGCCCCCAGGCTTGCAGCAGGTGCCTTTACCTGCTGAACCTGTTGATAAGAAAGAAATCAGGGCTGGAGAGATGGCTTAGAGGTTAAGAACACTGGCTTCCCTTCCAAAGGTCCTGAGTTCAATTCCCAGCAACCACATGGTGGCTCATAACTCTCCACAATGAGATCTAGTGCCCTCTTCTTGTGTGTAGGATTCGTGCAGACAGAACACTGTATAAATGAGCTCAGCATCCTCATCTGTAAGGACTCCTTTTCAGACATGTACTGCCAGGGCTGTCTGGGCTTGGCTGATGGAGGGCTTGCCCAGCATTCGGGAAGCCCTGGTTTCATCCCCTGAAAACACACCTGTCACCCAGCACTCAGGAGGTAGGTGGGGAGGTCAGGAGTTCACAGGAACAGGGGTACTTAGTGAGTCCTAGGCAGCCTGGACTAAATGAGACCGTTTCAAAAAAAGAAAAAAAAAACTTGCTTTCTGGAGTTCTCAGGGATTGAGGCTGCAATCGCAAAGCCAGCAGGTGACATAGATGGCATGTTGGGCAGGAAGCCAGAGGAATCACAGTGAGGGAACACCTGAGCAGAGCGACGGTGAGGATGCAGCACAGGTGTGTCTGGCCAGCGAGAAAGGCCAGCGCAAAGGTTCTGGGGCAGCATGAGAAAGGGAATTTTAGAGGCAGCTCCCAGGTCCTGGTCAGGAGTCGCTTGAAACCTCCGTTTACAGAGGCTTCCTAGGAAGAAACGAAGTGGCTGAGTGACAGCCACTATAATCCTAGCACTCTGAAGGTTGAGGCTGCAGGAATGGTGCAAACTTTACATTTTTACTTTATGTGTGTGGGTATTTTGCTTGCATGTATGTCTGTGCACAGTGTCCATTCCTGATGTCCTACCAAAGACAAGAGGACACTGGATCTCCTGGAACTGGAATTACAGATGTTTGTGAGCTGCCATGTGGGTGCTAGGATTTGAACCCCAGTCTTTTGGGTGAGCAGGAGATTCAGTACCCCTCTCTGGCCTCTGTGGGCACTGCAAGCACATGGCACATATCCATATGTTTGGCAAAACACTTACACACATAAAACAGAAGTAAAAAGCTTTATTAAAGAAGAAAAGAAGAAGCTGGCTTCAGTTGGCAGAGTGTGTGCTTGAAAGCATGATGCTGACTGCCATCCCAGAACCACGTGATCTGGCAATCCCAGCACTTCTGACGTGGAGGCAGGAGGATCAGAAATTCAATGTCTTAGCTTCCACTACATGAAACCCTGTCTCAAAACAAACCAAAATTCCAGGGCCTGGAGACACACTTCAGTTAAGAGCACAGTCTTATGGAAGGACACAGGTTCAGCTCCCAGCACCAAGAGCACAGGCTCACAACTGCCTGTGACTACCGCACAGGGGGTCTGACACTGGCTTCTGGGTTCTGTGGGTATCGGCACTCACATACACATACCCGCCCGCCCACACAACACACAGCTTTAAAAATATAAAAAAAGTGGGAGGGGGGGTTTCCAGGCAGGATTTCTCTGTGTAGCCTTGGCTGTCCTAACTCTCTATAGAGCATGCTGCTCTTGAACTCATGGATCAGCCTATCCCTGCCGGGATTAAAAAATTACACCGCTACACCTGGCAATGAGATTTAATTTTTAAAAAATTAAAGCAGTTTTACATTTAGAAATGTAAATTCTAAATGTAAATGTACATTTAGTTTTACATTTAGGGTTCTGTAGTAGTCAGGGTTCTCTAGAGTCACGGAACTAATGGATGGAATGAGTCTGTGTGTGTGTTTGAGTGCATATATGTATATACATACATAAAGGGAATTTATAGGGATGATTTACAGTCTGCAGTCCAGCTAATCCAGCAATGGCTGGCTGTGAACTGAAAGTTCAAGAATCCAGTACTTGCTCAGCCCCACGAGGCTGGATGTCTTAGTTGGTCTTCTGTATATTCTGGAATCCTGAAGAAGCAGGCTCCAGGGGCTGGAGAGATGGCTCAGTGGTTAAGAGCACTGTCTGCTCTTCCAAAGGATCTGGGTTCAATTCCCAGCAACCACACGGCAGCTCACAACTGTCTGTAACACAAATTCCAAGGGATCTGACACCTTCACATTAATGCACATAAAATAAAAAAATAAATAAATTATTAGAAGCAGGCTCCAGTGCCAGTGAAAGAATAGATGTGCCAGCAAGCCGAGGACAGGCAGTCAGAGAGCGAGACCTTTCTCCTTATAGAGGCTTCCAGCAGAAGGCGGGGCCCCGGTTAAAGGTGCACCTCCACACCTCAAGATCTGGATCGCAGGGGTGCCCTCCATTTCTGGTAGTTCATTCCAGATGTAGGCAAGCTGACAACCAATAATAGCCATCACAGGGTCTGAAGAGATGGCTCAGCACTCAACAGCACTGACTGTTCTCACAGAGAATCCAGGTTCAGTTCCCAGCATCCACATGGTGGCTCACAACTATTCCAGAGGATCTGACGGCCTCTCTGGCCTCTGTGGGCACAGCTCATCAACATACAGGCTAAACTCCTGCAGATATACAATACAAATAAATCCCTGTTCCTTCCAGGCTGGGGAACCCTGTCCATGTGACTTGTCCTTTCTGGCCTCTGGTTTCTGGATCTCTGAAATGGTCCTAGTAAGACTCCCACTACTGGCCCTCTAGCAGAGAGGGTGGCTCATGCTTTAATCCCAGCACTTGGGATGCAGAGGCAGGCAGATCTCAGAGTTGGAGGCTAGCTCTACAGAGCGAGTTCCAGGACAGCCAGGGCTACACAGAGAAACCCTGTCTTGAAAAACAAACTAACTAACTAGATAAAAACCCACTAGCAGGGGCATTGTAAACAGACAAAGCAACTAAAGCTGACTGCACAGGGACTTTAGTCAGTCAGTGGGCAGGAATGCCCTCCTTCCCCTTTGTCCTGCAACTTTTCTGGGTCCGGTGTTTAGGCCTGGATCTTAGAGGGGTTTGGATAGGATGTCTCAAACCTGAGGTCTGTCTTCTTGCTTTTCAGGAGACTGTGACCAACACTGTAGACATTTTAGATGTCATAAGCAAAGTGTGCTACTGACACCTTGGTTAAGACAGAGGACTGTGTGGTTGCTACAGAGGACAGCCCCCCAGAACAAAGATCACGTAACCCCCAGGGTCAGTAGGGCTAAGGGTGGGAAACCCCACACTTGCAGCCATATGACACTCCATTGCTGCTCAGGGGAACTTGCCCCTTTCTAAGGATTTAAGTTCAGCTGAGCTCGGTGGCACACACCTGTAATTTTAGCACTCAGAGGCAGACAATCTCTGTGAGTTCAAGAACCGTCTTGTCTACAAAGTGAGACCAGGACAGCCGAGGCTACACAGAGAAACCCTGACTCCAAACACAAAACAAAACAAAGTAGTTCGTTTTTACTTATTTTTCCGCACTGGGATGAAACTCAGGGCCTCACACCTGCTAGGCAAGTGCTCTCCCCCCGAGTGACATTACCAGGTCAGGACCACTGGGTGTGAGCCCCAGGTCACGCCGCCACCACTGCGCTGTATGGCAGATTCCCCCCTGCACGGCCGCATGGCTTCTATACAGATCCAACACAACCCTCTCCGACACGAGAAAACCCTCGTTTTGGGGGAAGAAAAATGAGGTTTATTTTCATATCATGTGTACGGGAGTCTTGCCTACACTAGTGTGTTTATGTTCCATGTGCTTGCAGTGCTGGAAGAGTACGGAAGGGAGCGGCAGATCCCCGTGAACTGAGGCTTAGACGATTGTGAGTCACCGTGTGGGTGCTGGGAGCCAAACCCAGGTCCTCTCCGAGAGCAGCCCGAGCCCTCCGCTACTCCACAACTCCACAACTCCCCAGCCACGCCCCCTGCGCACATTTTTTAAAAATTACATTTATTTACTTATTTTGGGACAGGGGAACGTGAGCACGGTTTATATGTGGGAAGCCTTTGGAAGTGAGCTTTCTTCTTCCGCCATGTGGGCTCCAGAGACTGCTCAGGGCGGCGGGCCGGGCGCCGCCTTTCCCTGCTGAGCCTCTCTACGCCCCGGCCCCACCGAGACAGCCTCGTCTGCCGGCTAAGCTTGCTCTCACCCCCTGATTCTCCTGCCCTGCCCTCGCAAATACCTGGGTGACAGTGCACACCGACACGCCCAGCTTCAGACGCACTTCAAAAAAAAACAAATTTTGGGCAATAGAGGCGGCTTAGCAAGTAAAGGCACTGACTGTGAAATACAGCGACCCGAGTTTGGTCCCCAGCCCTCACGTGGAGAGAGCGGACTCCGGAGGCCGCCCTGTGACCTCCACGCGTGCACGCACGGACACGCCACATCAATAAATAAACATTTCGAAATTTAAAAATGGGAGCAAGAGCTGGAGGGACGGTGCGACAGTCAGGGGCACTTGCTGCTCCGGCTGAGGGCGGGAGTTCTGTTCCCACCACACAGCCGGCAGCTCACAATGGCTTGTTACTCCAGCTCCAGCCCCATCGGGCACACCACCGCCACACACAAGGCACGTAAAACATAACAGATAAAAAATTCATCGATTTCATATATTCATTCTTGTTTTTTCAAGACAGGGTTTCTCTGTGTAGTCCTGACTGTCCTAGAACCCGCCTGCCTCAGCCTCTCCGAGTGCTGGATTAAAGAAAAGCTCTGCCACACCCAGCTAATTATTTTAAGTATGTCCCCACAAAGGGCTCCGGTGGAGCTAGAATTACAGGCTGTCGTGAGCCTGGATGCCGGGAATCAGACTGGGGTCCTCTGGGGATGCAGGCCGAGCTTTTAATAGCTGAGCCATCTCTCCAGGCCCCAAAATAGTAAATTCTATTTTGGGGGAAAAAATGGCTTTTGGTTGTTTGAGACAAGTAGCCCCCACTGGATTCAAACTCACAATATAGCCTAAAGTGACCTTGAATCCCCTGATCCCCCTGTCTCCACCTGGCCGGGGCTGGACTCAAAATTGTACATCAGCCTTAAAACTATGTTTAAGCTCTGCTTGGATGGATCTGAGGGTTTGAAAGGGTCAGCCACAGGGACAACTGAATGTCCTCCACAGCCGTCACCATTTCACGGGGAAGGCAATTCGGGGTTTTTAAAAAGTCTACGCAGGCCATTAATAAGGGACTCAAAAGCTGGCAAACTGTGGTGGGCAGGCTGTGGGGCCACCTGCCTGCCATCTCAGCATTAGGAAAAAAGGGACAGGTGGATCGGGAGTTCAAGACAAGCTCGGGCTAACACAGCCAGACTTGACCTCAAATACGTCAAACCAAAGCAAACAAGTGAAAACCGCAGTGCTTTCGAGCGTTAGATTCTGACGCAGCCACTCGCAGGCCCTGTGACCTTGAGATGACCTTAAACAGGCTGTCTTCCGTCAAAGCTCTTCCCCTGCCCCTGCTATATAGACCAGGCTGGCCTCCAACTCACAGATGTATCTGTCTAGGAGCGCTTTGTGTGTGTGTGTGTGTGTGTGTGTGTGTGTGTGTGTGTGTGTGCAGCAGGAGTCTGTCCTCACCTGCCCTGTGGGTCCTGGAGACTGAACCTGGCTCGTCAGGCTTGGCGGTGGGCTCCTTTACCGTGAGCCATCTCATCGGCCCTGTGAGTTTGGGACAGACCAGGAAGAGCTGTATTCCCAGGGAGCACTGAAAGCGCCCGTTACCACCGTCAGTCCCTGGGCCATCGCCCGGGGCTGCACACTGAAACGCAGACATTTTCCCTGATAATAACAGCTGTCCACACTACGTCCAGGCAGACCTGGGTCTCTTGGACCATGTAGCCCAAGGCTGGCCATGACTTTCTAAGCAGCTTAAGATTCTGATCCTCCTGGCTCCGCCTCTGGCAGAGCACTGGGTTCGGCTTTGTGTGCCCCAAGCACGTGCTCCGTCAGCTGAGCCCCGCCCTGCTTAGGTGCCTGCTTTACAGCTGGGCAAGCTGAGGCTCTGTGAAGGTGATTTGCCGAGTCCAGTGGCTAAGCTGACGGTAAAGCTAAGCTCAGGTTCAGCTCCGGGCCCTGTCGTGGCAACGTTGCCAATGACTCTGGACAAGACGGTGCTTCACCGAGCACTGTCCTCAGCTCCCTGCCCCTTTCTGATCCAGAGCAAACTTCTTGCGTAGTGAGGTGTACGTGCCTGTCATGGCAGCACCCAAGAGGTCCAGGCAGCCTGAGCTGCTGGCAGGTGGAGGGTAGGGTTGGGGGGTGGGGGGAGGCTGGGGTAGTTTAAGCAGCTGGTGGGCTGTGTTCAAGCCTTCCACTCTCCGTTCTCCTCATCACCAAAAATGCTGTACCCGGGCCCCACAGGGTCACGGGTGGTCGCCTCTTGGACCCCAGATGGTCACCTCTGTGTTCCTCTGGACCTGCCTCTCGGACTAGGGTGGGTTTGGGGGGTTACCTCATGGACTGGGGGGGCTGTCACGAAGTAGGATGAGCAGGACTTGAGGGTGCTGCATGCGGCTGGCTGCTTAGACAAGCAGACAGGCAGGTGCGTCCAGGGACATCTCGAGAGCCAGAGGTGGCACTCTGCGCCACCCCCAAGACTGAAGCCCTACCAGATCATGACCTGCGATCCGGGGCTCAGTGGGTCAAGGCGATTGCTGCCAAGTCTGATGCCCCGAGTCCAGTCCCCGGGGAGGCACACGGTGGAAGATGAAAGTTGACCCCTGAAAGCTGTCTTCTCACCTCCACACGAGCACTCCGCCACGTCTGCATGTAGGGGAGCAAACACACACAATAGCAACGATAGAGCACAAGAATTAAAGTCCAGGACTGGCCAAGGGCTATGGGTTAATCCACCTACACGTGTGGCGTCACCATGGTTTACTCCCATGCCTTGTGTCTGGAGACATCCCCAAGCTTATTTTGGGGGTCTCAGTACTTGGGGGGATGGCATTCTGGGGTGCTGTGGAACCACTGCAGGGTGAGGGACACGTGAGGGAATCTGGAGACATTTCCTCCCGTGTGTGAAGGCTGTAGGATCTGGGGGATCCCCATCGGCTTATGGGCGCTGCCTTTGCCTGTGGGAGCTGGGCCCAGGGGTGCCGGGGTGTCCGAGCTGTTCATGCTGGCACACACCTTTAGTCCCAGGACTTGCAAGGCAGAGGCAGGTAAGATCTCTTAGTGTGAGGCCACTCCAGTCTCGTGGGGAGTTCGAGACCAGCCACCAGAACTACACAGTTGAGACCCCGGTTAACCACCCCTCCCAAAAAAAAGTAAATAAATAACCGGAGAAGCTGCGTCTTCGAACACCACCCGGATTGGTGGGTGCACTGAGATTCCTGACGCACCCTGGTCTTTGGGAGCGGGGTGACTCAGACGCAATGACAGCGGTAGGAAAGGGGGGACGCGTAGGGGTCTGTGGCTACCCCACTCGGCAGGGCCTTGGAGGAAGGCGGTTGGGCTTCCTGAGGTCTGAGGCGCCCCGGCCGGGCTCCGCCCCGAGGGCGGCCCGAGCTCAGCCGGAAGGGCCGAGGCGGCGGGAGGCGCATGGCGCGGCGGGGCTGGGGCCGCATCCCCGGGCCGCGCGCGGCGGCCTTCCCGGAGGCGGCGGCCGAGGACGACGCGTTCCTGCCCGGGCCCTCCGCGGTGTCCGCGTTCTTCGGCATCACATCCCCGACGCCCCACAGACGTGTGCGGCTCTTCCGCGGCAGCGTGCAGGACTGGGGCCGCCAGGCATGGGCCGGGTGAGTGCGCGCCGCCCTGGCCAGTGGTTCGAGGCCCTTCTGAGCCCTCCAGCGTGGCCGTTAGTGGGGCTCCGGGAGGGGGCTGCGGCTTGCTTGTGCATCCTCCCCCTTTCCCCTTCCGTTGGAGGCAGAGATAAGAATCATACTGCCTTCCAGGGTTGCTGTGGAGAAACCCGATAGGGCATGCAGCAGATGCTCAATAAACTTCCTGTGCCTACTTGAAGCTGTGGTTATGCCTTGGGGGACTTGAGGCCAAGTCAGCATCGCTGTGACTCCAGAACCTGGTTTTTGTTTTTGTTTTTGTTTTTGTTTTTTGAGGCAGGGTTTCTCTGTGTAGCCCAGGCTGTCCTAGAACTCGTTCTGTAGACCAGGCTGGCCTTGAACTCAGAGTTCCACCTGCCTCTGCCTCCGGAGTGCTGGGATTAAAGGGGTGTGCCACCACACCCGGCAAGATTTTTTTTTTTTTTTTAAGTTTTGTGTTTCTGGATTTTGTTTGGGGACACAGTCTCATGTAACTCAGGCTAGCCTCCGGTTTACAGTATAGGATGGTCTTGAACTTCTGATCCTCTTGCAGCTACCTCCCAAGTGCTAGAATTATAATCGTACCACACCGCGCAGGTTCAGGCCAAACCTTTGTATTAGGCAGGTGTTCTACTCCCTGCGGCTTTGAGGTAAGGTCCCACTCTGTAGCCCAGGCTAACCCAACCTGCAGCAAGAGGGCTTGGGCTACTGGCATGAGCTACCAAACTTGGGAACAAGTTTCTGTTGAGTTCCACCAGCCTCTGACAGCCTGTGAAGTGACAGGGCAGGCGCCTGAAGGGGTGGCTTTGAGTCTGTGTTCCTCCACTCCTCGGCCCGCCTCCCTGCGTGTCACTCAGGCCTTCCCCAGGGTCTTGTTTGGTAATGATAGCACCTTGTGGCATGAGGGGTGGATGGTTGCCTAGACAGACTGCAGATGGGCTGTGGGGACAGGAAGCCTGAGGGAGCCAGGCCTAGAAACCACATCCGGTGTGCCTTCCAAACATCCCTTTCTCCTGGAGACCGCGGTCGCCTGGAGGTGGGCCCAGGTTGTTGGTGGGTCGACTCCCGGCGCGGTGCCCCGTTCTCTACACACGCTTGTTTAGAGCAGAGGCTGTTGGGAGTCCCCCTGGGCACTGAGCAAGAGGTGGGAGGGGAGAGGACAGTAGAGGTTTGGCTTTCAGGATGGGGCAAGTGTCCCTTCGGTTTGATTCTGCCCCTCCGCCCCCCAGCTCCGCCTCCCAGCATCTGTCACCCCGGCCCTCCCGAGGGTCTTGATCACCCAGCCCTGTGCGGTGCGTCTAGTTCCCCCGCGGGCACACGGTGGCGATCTGAGACCTGGAGGTGGCCCAGCTCGACGTCAGGCCGGGGAGGGGTGGAAGGCGGGGCCGGGGCAGAGGGAAGGGCCGCGGGCTGGGAGCCGGGGAAACCGGAGCCCCGGGCGTCCCCGAGGCCCGGGGAGGGACCGCGGCAAGTGGGCGCTCAGTTTCACAGCGCCCTTCTGCAAGAGGGAGGCAGGCGCGAGGAGGACGCGAGCACCCGGGATCGTGTCCCCGGGGGGAGGGCACGGGGGTGGTGCCAGGGGCTAGGACAGGACAAGTGTGGAGGCGGTGCCGGCGATCGCTGGCACCTCGGGCCTGGCGTGCAGCGCCGCACACGCTCCGGTGCAGCCGCCGGTCCCCAATGCCGGTCCCGACGGCGCCTGGCTCCCATGCGCTCCAGTGCCGCGCCCCGGGCCCGGCCCCGACCCCCGGCCTTGGCACTGCCCCTGGGACCGGAGTCACTGACCCACTTCTCCTTCAGCGAGGAGGACACTCTTCGACACCCCCCCAGCAGATGCGTGAGGTGGGTGGCCCGTCGCCAGTGCCTTTCTTTGTGACCTGAAGGTGCTCTTGCCTGTCCGGGTTAGAGGACCCTTTCCAGGGTAGCCAGCCTTGGGGGAGTCCCCTAAGCAGCTTTCCGCGTCTAACAAGAGACCCTGTTAAGGCCCTAACCTTAAAAATGTGGGTGCTGCTGATGGTAGGGCTACAGAGAGTGGGTGCTAATTTCCACCCCAACTCGTCTCTTCGAAGTTGGGGTTCCTTGACGCTTTCTGTCCCCATGCCCCCTCAACCTGAATATCTAGGTTACCTGAATACCCTGGCAGCAAATACGGGTGTCCAGCCTGTCACCTGGGCTCCACTCCCAAGCCGTTGGCCAAGAGCCAGGCCCCTAAGGCCTTACATGGCTTCTCCAGCCCCCACCCCCACTCCCCAGCTGGGGCTGTCAGACTGAAAGCCAAGCCCTGGTGTGTGGGGGAAGGTGTGTGACCGTGCCCAGAGGGCATTTTGAGTTGGGTGGGTAGAGCTGTGCCAGGAAGTGACCTTTAAGTTTTCTGGAGTTGCGTCTCTTCCGTGCCTCACTGCACCGTCTGGTCAGATACCTTGATGGACTCAGACACACTGTATCCAGCAAAAACACACTGGGCCACACCCACATCTGGGTTCAGCTGGGTCACCTGCTGTTTGCTGTTCTAGACTCAGCCTGGGGTCTCCAGGTTAGTCAAGGCACTGGGAGAACCCGCCAGTGACCCGTGACCCTAACAGGCGATCCCAGATGTTAACGATTCCAGACCGCCCCTACGCAGCCTGGTCTACACCTCCTTTTCCAGGAAGACATTATTATCGCCCCCCCACACATACTCACACACACTTCAAAACCACTTGGGTCAGGGACAAGCCACACTGTCTGTGGGACATTCTCATGAGGTCACAGGAATGTGAAAACAGACACCTGTGGGACACCTGACACCCCCCCCCATCCCGTGCAGCTCTGCATGAAGGGTGTCGTGGACACACAGGTCCCCTGCCCTCGGCCTAGACGTGTGCCAAGACTTGACACCCAGCCCCGAAAACATCAGTGGCACCTGGCACCACGAGCCCGCCTGGCAGACACATGCCGGAGCCGGCACTCAACCTCTGAGTGACCTTCACAGAGCAAACCAGTCCTTTCCACAGAGGCTTGCTGGCACCTCCTCCGAGGCAGCCAGCTGGAGAAGGGCGAGGAGCCTGGGAGGCAGCAGGCTTGTTTCTGCGCCCAGAATGCAGAGCCAAGCGGTCCCCGGTTCAAGGCCACCCCTGACCAAGTTATTCAGCCTTTTGGTTTGTTGGCTGTTTAAGCCAGGCTGGCTGGCCTCTGATTTGCTGTGTAGCTAAGGACGACCTAAGTTAAACAACTGATTCTCCTGCCTCCACCTCCTGGGGTGCTGGGATGGCAGGCCTGTTTACTTGGTGCTGGGATGGGACCCAGGGCTTTGACTGACTCATCCTCCCTCGCCTCCTCATTGTCAGTTTTCTTGCCTGGAAAGCAGAGTAACAATGCCTATGTGGGCATATTTAGTGCCTAGCACAGGACACTCAGTAGCATTTGTTTGTGTTTGGGTTCCTTTCTTATATTACGTGAACCTTTAACATTTCCTGGGGTGGCACGTGCGGACTTCACAGGACAAAACTTTCAGGTGTCTATTCTCCCTCGACTGTGCGAGTCCCGGGAATGAACCTTTGCCTACTGAGCCATGTCACTGAGCCTGAAGCTCACTGACTGGGCAAGGCTGTGTGGCCGGGGAGATGCAGGAATCCTGTCTTCATCTCCCCAGCGCTGCCTCTGGGGGTCCAGACTCTGGTGCCCCTGCCTGCCTTTACCGCTGTCCGGGTGGTGGCTGTGGCGCCAGCCTCCTGTCCTCAGCGTGCCTTGTGGCTTTGCCTCCTGTTGGGAGGCAGTGATGGGCGGGGCGGGGGTCTCCTCCCTTACATTTGTATTTCTTTTCTGCGCACGTGAGTAGCCGTGTGCCGGCGTCTACAGGACAGCACGCAGGCGGAGCACAGCGGGCAGCCCGTGGGGGTCCCTTCTTCCACAGTGAGTCCCAGGGAGCACCCTGAGGTCGCTCTGCTCCGTTGCAGTCTGGGCTCAGCTGACCCTCGTTTCTCCCCAGGCTTCAGTTCAACAGCCCGGTCCTGTCCCCCGGGCCTGCGCTCAGCTCAGGGGACACTCAGGCCTGAAGCACAAACAACAGCACCTAAGGGACCATCTCCTCGCCACGCAGGCCACTGCGCTCCCACTGACGCGCACTGCTTCCCCAGGGCCAGGCAGGTTTGCCACCGGGATGGCAGCCGAGAGGCCGCCCGGGGTCAGTGTGGAGACCTAAACCCTAGCCTAAGTTCCTGTGTGGAGGGCGGGGAGGGGGGGGTTCACAGCGGGAGCCTCGAACTGCCCTGGTCCCGGAAAGACGGGATATGGTCCCCAGGCAGCCGGGCCACCCAGCGGTCGATGAGCCTCCGTGCCTCGGCTTTCGTGTTCTTTGGGATTTTAACAGGACCCACCTCAAGAAGACGGTGGCAGAAATAAACAGGTCGGTAGCACAAAGCGTTTTAACAGAAGCAGGCAGACAGCGAGGATGTGTGAAGTAGGGTAGGCCGATGGCCCGGTGTGAGTCACCACGAGCGCCGCCGGGCCTGACCATGTGAGCCCAGTCCCAGGGATGCTCAGAGTACAGTGATTCTGGTCTCAGCTCTCGGAGCTGCCATGGCACCGACTCTGATTCCGGTCGCTGACAGTCCTGTCAACCTTTCTGCCCAGTTCTGTCCTTCGGCCTTTTCAACACTTTTTCTGTATTTAATCAGCCACGTCCCTCAAGAAAATTCGAATTAAAACAACTTAGTTTTAGCTTATGAATGTTTTGTCTGCACGCATGTCTGTGTGATCACATGTGTGCCTGGAGCCTGCGGAGGCCAAAACAGGGTATCTTACCCCTGGAACTGGAGTTACAGGTGGTTGTAAGCCACTGTGTGGGAGCTGGGGAATCGAACCCATGTCCCCTGCAAGAGCGGCCAGGGCTCTTCACAGCTGGGCTATCTCTCCAGTCCTTCAGTTGATTTTTAAAGGCTTTTCCCCCTTTTTCTTTTTGAAGCCTGGGGAGAAATGAGGGGTCAGAGAACTGTAGACTGCAATCCTCAAGACAGTAAACAAACAAGTAAAATGTAATAATGTTTTTCAAAAATGGAAGGCAGGTCTGTGTCTAGGCTGGAGTCCTGTGCCCAAGGTATGAAGACCAACACGGCCAAATCTAAACGCCAGTCTGGAGTTGGAACCAGTGGTCGCAGAGGTGCGCCTGAGAGAGGCCTTAAAGGATGCACTTGGCACAGCAGGTGCTCGCTGAATGAGCACTGCTGTCAAAGGCTAAAGTTCATCTGTGTCTTTGCCTTAGAGGCTTTTTAATTTTATTTTTTGTTTTTATGTTCTTGGGTCTTTTTCAAGACACAGTTTCTCTGTGTAGCCCTGGCTATCCAGGAACTCACTCTGCAGACCAGGCTGGCCTCGGACATAAAGATCCACCTGCCTCTGCCTCCTGAGTGCAGAGATTAAAGGCCTGTGCTGCTATGTCCAGCTTTTTGTTTGTTCCTTTGTTTTGTTTTTTATTTTTGAGACAGGGTTTCTCTGTATATCTTTCCTTGGCTGTGCTGGAACTCACTCTGTAGCCCAGGCTGGCCTCAAACTCAGAGATACACCTGCATCTGCCTCTCAAGTGCTAGGATTAAAGGAGTTTTTTATTTTTAAACACACTTAGTGTGTGTGCACGTGTGTGCGTGAGCACCAAGGAGTGTGTGGGGGTTGGAGGACACCTCTTAGGAGTCAGTTCTCTCTCCTCTATGTGCTCCTAGGAATCAATCCTGGGTGCAAGCTTGCTGGCAAGTGCCTCTACCCCCGCCACCAACCCAACTATCTCGCTGGCCCAGTTTTTATTTGCTCATCTTTGAATACTGGAGGTAGAACCCAGGGCCTCACCACGCAAGTGCCTTATCACTCTCCTAGGCTTTGATTTGCTTACTTGGGTCTCATTATAGTCTAGGCTGCCCTTAAGCTTGCAATCCTCCTACCTCAGCCTCCCAAGCGCTGGGATTACAGGCGTGCTGCACTGCGTGAATTCTGCCATGTGTGATGTGACTACGTATTCTAGTCTTATCTCTTTCTGTCGTGTGCATATTATGTATGTGGAGTCGGGGGGTCTGGAAGTCTGAGGTCAACATCAGGGGTCTTCTACTGCTGTCCACATTCCCTTTGGAGCTGTTCCGCTCTCCTGCGGAACAGGGCCCCAGGATCTGAGCCCCAGGATCTGCCTGTGTCTGCTTCCCAGTGCAGGGGTTTCACACTCCTGTGGCTTTTACACACCCAGCTTTTACGGAGATGTTGGAGACCAGAACTCAGTTTTTGTTTGTTTATTTTGAGACAGGGTGTCTCTGTGTAGCCTTGGCTGTTCTGGACTTACTTTGTAGACCAGGCTGGTCTCACAGAGATCCACCTGCCTCTGCCTCCCTGAGCACTGGGATTACAGGCATGTGCCACCGAGCCCAGCTTCAGAATTCAATTTCTTATGACTGCACGGCAGAGGCTGTATCCACTGAGCATCCCTTGGTTTGTATCTTTTAGAAAAATTTATTGGAGCCAACAGGCGGAGAGGCAGGCCACAGGCACGGGACTGGCAGTCAAGCAGAAAGCCCTGCATTCGATTCCAGAACCCCCATGGTAGAAGGAAAGGCTGAGTCCCTCCAGTTCTCTGCCGCGGCATGGCACACATGTGTATCCCCATGCACACAAACAGACATGCTCAAGTTTTGTGTCAGCTGTCCATTTTCTCACGGTGTGCACTATTCCACAGTGTGAATCCCCTAGACTCTATCAGTTCATCAGTTGCTAGATGGTTCTGGTTATTCGTTTTTGGTAGTTGGCAGCTACTATGAACATTTTTTCGCCTGTGGCCTTTTTTCTTATTCTTTTTTTTTTTGTTTTGTTTTTTTGTTTTTGGACACAGGGTTTCTCTGTAGACCATGCTGGCCTCGAACTCACAGATCCACCTGTTTCTGCCTCCAAAGTGCTGGGATTGAAGGCATGTGTCAGTCTTTTTTTTTTTTTTTTTAATTAAAGACCTAGTTTCTTTGCATAACAGTCCTAGCTATCCTGGAACTCTCTCGGTAAATCAGGCTGGCCTCGAACTCAGATATCTGCCTGCCACTGCCTCCCAAGGGCTGGCACTTAACTACTTAGCAAAGACTTTACTGAGGGCTGTGGTCCTTCCAATGAACTCAAGGTCACCTTGGTTTGCTAAAGCTGGAGCCAAAGTTTATCTTCACACAGCCCTTGCTAAGAGCTGACATTTTGGCCAGTGACATTTTGCCACAGTGCTTTTCTTTGGAGTCCCTGTATGGGCATTTGGACTGTGAGCTATTGTGACGACCTCAGAATTCCCCCACCCTGAATTTTTTATAATTAACATTATTTATTTAGGGTGGACATGTGTGGGTACAAGGGCAAGGGTCTTAGAGTCGATCGAGGTCAGTGAATAGAGCCATCCCAGTGGCCCTTAAAACTTTTAATTAATTGACTTTTAGACAGGGTTTGGCTCTAGACCCAGACTTGTTTCAGATTCATGGCAATGCTCTTGCTGCTTCCGCCTTCCAAGAGCAGAGATTACAGATGTGAGCCAGCACGCCATCTGTGTGTGTGTGTGTATGCGCATGTGTGTGTGTGCGCACACATGTGTGTGTCTGTGTCTGTGTGTGTGTGTGTGTAGGTCGGAGGACAACCGTGGGAGTCATTTTCCTCCTACAAACTGTGTCTCAGTTGACACTCAGGTCAGCAGGCCTTTGTGGCAAGCATCTTGACCTGCTGAGCTATCCCTCCAGCCCCTGCACTGCCCGTTTTGTCTTGAAACAGGGTCTCATGAAGCCCAGGCGAGCCTTGAACTCTGGTCTTCCTGTCTTCACTTCCCAAGTGAGGGACTCACAGGCACGCATCACCATTCCTGATTTTATGCAGTGCTGGTCCCGGAGCCCAGAGCCTTGGGCAAGCTCGGAAAGTTCTCTGCCCTCCGAACTACACCCTCAGCCCCAGACAGTGTGTGTATGGAAAAGGAAAATGGGGTTGGCCAGGTGGTGGTGGCACACCCTTCTAATCCCAGCATTTGGGAGGCAGAGGCAGGCAGATCGATGTGAGTTCAAGGCCAGCCTGGTCTACAGACTGAGTTCTAGGACATCAAGGGCTACACAGAGAAACCCTGACTTAAAAAGTTAAAAAAAAAAGAAAGAAAGAAAGAAAGAAAGAAAGAAAGAAAGAAAGAAAGAAAGAAAGAAAAGTAAAATGGGGTCCCTTTAAGGCCTGAAGGCAGATCCTCATGCTTGCCTGGCAAGCACTTGACCAACTGAGGTATCTCCTCAGCCCCTGTCTCCCCAAATCTCTGCCACAAACCTCTGTCATCTTCACACCTCCTGACCCCTCCAGCGCCACCTCATTCCCCCTGACTCTCCTTCCCTCTGTCCCTTACAGCTTGGAGGCAGAAAATGGGCCGACACCATCCCCCGGCCGCAGCCCCCTGGACTCGCAGGCGAGCCCGGGGCTCCTGCTGCACACTGGGACAACCAGCAGCCAGCGCAGAGAGTCCTTCCTCTATCGCTCAGACAGCGACTATGACATGTCACCCAAGACTATGTCCAGGAACTCATCTGTCACCAGTGACGCGTGAGCACACCCTGCCCTACTCACCAGATCCCCTAGGCCTGGCCCTGCCACCAGCCAACCTTCCTAGCAGAGCGTGGGGCACCGAACCCACACACACACACATTGTCCTCCCCTCGGGAGGGAAAGCAGACCCTCTCCCTTTTACACAGGACTTACAAGCTTTTAAAGTTTGCCTTGGTGCCCGGCTCTGCCCGCACCCAGTCACTGGTTACCTTCAAGTCTGGCCCTCCCTCGACTCCAACCCTAGACAGGGTCTGAAGCCCAGACGGGCTTCAAACTATGTAGCTGAGGCTGTTCTCAAATTCCTGATCCTCCTGCCTCAGTCGTGGGCATTACTGATGTACACCACCATGTTTGTGGGGTAGTGGGGATTGAACCCAGGGCTTCCCGTATACTAGGCAAGCACTCTGCCAACCGAGCTACACCTCCACAAGCAGGCAAGCTAACCTCAAACGTGTGATCCCCTGTCTCAGCCTTCTGGGTCCCACTTCCTGCATATGCCCCTCCCATCTGTAGCCCTCCAGCGTGTTCTTCCTACTGTTGCCTCCAATGTGTCTCCTCCCTCCTCCTGGACCCAAGCCCAGCCTCCGCCCCATAGACCTGGGTCCCTGACCTGCTCCTGTTCTTACTTTCAGGTATGTCGAAGACCTCATTGTGACACCGTTTGCCCAGGTGAGACCTCCTCCCACGGGAAAGGGGCCCAGCCTGGCGGGCCCCTCCTCACAGCTGTCCCTCACCCCAGGTGCTGGCCAGTCTCCGAAGCGTTCGAAGCAATTTCTCACTCTTAACCAATGTGCCCATCCCCAGCAACAAGTAAGTGGAGCTGAATCCCCAGCACCCGTACTCATGACTTAGGAAAAGCCACCGTGGGCACCCCTCAGGGAGTGGAGCGCCTGCATTGTGTTTGGGAGGCTCTGGGCTTCCACCCTCAGCAGCCCATAAGCCAGGCCTATCGGTGCACACCTGTGATCCTGGAACTCAGGGAACGGAGACAGAAGGGTCAGGAGCTCAGGCTCCTCCTTGGCTACATAGGGAGTTTCAGGACAGCCTGGTCTGCGGGAGACCTTGTCTCAAAGTGGAGGAAAAGAGAAAAAGAACAGCTGGGTTTAGTTTCAGCCTGCCTTGTGACGTCAGGCCAGCCGGCTCTTGACCCCTGGGTTGAAGCAACCCTGTCTAAGTCAGGGAACTGATACTTCTAGGAATGAAGGCCTGCATGATGGTGGTGACGCTCCGGGCCCCAGCTCTTGCACCGGGCTCCGGGCTGATACGCCGACTTCCTAGACAGATGGCAAGGAGGGGTGCCTGTGTTTCCCTTCTGTGGGATGGAAGCTGCGGAAGGGCTTTAATTAGAAAGCCTCTGTGAGAAACCCAGGAGGTGACACACAGAAAACGCTAGAACATTGTCTGGTGCGCAGTATATGCTCAACAAATAAGGACAGTTCAAGTTGGGCAGGATGGCTCAGTTGCTGAAAGGTGCTTGCAGTTAGATTTGACAACCTGAGTTCAATCCCCAGAACCCACACGGTGCATGGAGGGAGCTCACTCCACAGGTATGGCTGGAGGGATGGGTGGTTGAATGGTTGAGAGTGGGCGCCGCTCTGGCCGAGGGTTTGAGTTCAGCTCTTCACCCACGGGGGCAGCTCACAGCCGATGCCCTCTTGTGGACGCCAAGGGCACCTGAACTCACATGCGGGACATGCACAAACATGCACACACACACACACACACACACACACAGAGTCAAGAGTTAAAAATTGGGATGGTGGTACATACCTTCAATCTAAGCTCTGTGGAGGCAGAGGGAGCTCTGTGAGCTCAAGACTAGCCCGGTCCACATAGTGGGTTCCAGGCTTGCCAATGCTACCCAGAGAAACCCTGTCTTTAAAAAAATAAAAAATAAATAAAAAATAGGAGGGAGAGATGGTTTCGATGGTTTCTTTTCTCTTTAGGGCTGAGGGTGTGGCTGAAAATTATCAGTAGTAACAGCCATTCTCAAAAGCTTGAGAAGTTGGGGAGAAAAGGAAATTTGAAAACACAGGGTCTGGTCCTGTGCGGATCCCCTGTGTGGCACAAATGAAGCTAGAGTCCATCCAGCCAGATGTGGTCCCCTCACCTGCCATGCCAGAGCTCAGGAGGAGGCCGTGGCAAGATCTTGCGTTCCAGTCCAGCCCATGCTTTAGGGAGACCCTGTTTCAAACATTACCACCTGCAAAAGAACCTAGTTTCACCTAACTGAGCCTCCGTGTTCTCTGTATGGCCTCTGGGGCCGGGTATACAGTTCAGTGGTAGGATGTTTACCCTGCATTTGGGGGCCAGAATTCAATCTCAGGCACCACAGAAACAAGCAAACTGGGGCTGAGGCTCAGTTTGCCTAACATGCATGGAGTCCTGGGCCCCAGCACCCCATACACAGGGAAGCGTGTAACCCATGCTGTGAAGGTGGGGTGGTGAGGATCAAGGTCCTCTTTGGCTGCATGGTGAGTTCAAGGCCAGCCTCAGCGGAGACTCTCTCACAGATGACAAATTCAGGCTCTGAAATTCCATGAGCTCTCAGAATCAAGGAAGCTGCCATGGAGAGGGGAGGCCGGGTCTGGGAGAACCCAGGCTGACACTGGAGTCTTTTTTTTTTTTTTTTTTTCTTGCAGGCGGTCCCCCCTGGCTGGCCCACCCTCTGTCTGCAAGGCCACGCTGTCAGGTAGCTAAGCCTAGAGGTGGGTGGACCCTCATCCCTGGGGCGGGACCCTCCAGCTCACTTCCCTGGCCACCCTTTCCTCAGAGGAGACGTGCCAGCAGCTGGCCCGGGAGACCCTGGAAGAGCTGGACTGGTGTCTAGAGCAGCTGGAGACCATGCAGACCTACCGCTCCGTCAGCGAGATGGCCTCGCACAAGGTGGGCGGGGCTGGGAGGTGGCGAGGCCGGTGGGCGGGGCCTGGCGCGGTGGGCGGGACCAGTGGACAGGGTGAAGGGTGTGGCGTGGATTGGACCACTGAGCTACCTGAGTGCTTCTGAATGGGCGTCCCGGTGGGTGGGTGGCCGACCCCTCCGCAGGACGACTAATGTTAATCCATGAGTGACCCCAATTCCGTGACAGAACCTATAAGTTTACCCTGGGGCCTGTGAATGATGCCAGAGGCTTAGGGGGTGGGGTAGTGGGGTAGCAATTGGCAGAACCAATTACTGTGGCGGGAAGTGGAGCGGATGCCGGTCCCGGGGCAGGGATTGTGTGCAAAGCTCATCACCAGATCCGGGTGCTGAGCAGGGCCGAGGCCTGGGTTAGAACCCTGGGCCTGGCGTGCGGCGGTGTCCTTACAAGAACTAAAGTGGCGTGTACCCCGGGCTTTCCTCGGGGCTGAAGGGTGTGGGGGGCGGAGCTGGTTTAGTTGTGCATATTCTTAGCAGGTGACCGTTGCTCACGGAGGTCGAGTGATCTCTGGGTCTTTGTCCCTGCCTTCCAACCTGTGTGGCTGTCGGCTCTTTGCTCGTTGCAAGTTCATCTGGAGCCCTGGCGAGGGCTCGTGTGCGGGTGTGTGCACAGACAGCCATGTGGCGTGCTGTGGGAGTCCAGGCTGTACCGAGGGAGGAATCTGGTCCCGAACTGAGCCTGAGCGTGTCTGATTCTGTGCAGGTTCTAGGCTTTGCAAAGGGCGGGCCTCGGGCTTCCCTGTCCAGCTGACGGTGAACTGCCCCACTCCAGGGGCACAGTTCAGTGATCGAGGCCCTCCGAAGGAGGCTTCCGGGAGTGTGCAGCGCTTGGGAGCGGGTGTCTACCAGGAAATGAGTGTGCAGGTGGGGGCGGGCTTCTTCGGGAGTGCTACCTCCATGTGGGTGGAGGCTTGTCTGGGAAAAGGAGTTCAAGGACAGCTGTGTCCCCGAGGGTGGGTTACACTATCTCTCGAAGCGTGTGTGTGAGTGTGCGTACACCGGCATGCACAGTTGCTTACACACGTGTTTCTGTGACGACGTGTGTTGATTTGCACCTCTAAGTGTGTCAGAGCTTGGGCACTTGTTCCTTAGTCTGTGTCTGCCTGTGGACTCCTGAAGATAGGGGTGGGACTGAGGACCTTTGCTGTGTTCAAATGTGCAGCTAGGGCTGTGTTGTGGCCTTGAAGCTGTGGGGTGTGTGTGTGTGT